CTATATAGCGGAAGCATTTCAAAACTTTCATCCCTTCATGACGTAAAATAGTATTCCGCCAGAAAAATATCACGGAATTGAAGGTCGAATTCAAGCTAACGAACGTGCCCGCCCACAGACTAAGCGAGCTAATGTTTTTATCGTGCAACGGCATTTCCCATGCGAAACATATAAAGCAATAAACTAGTGCGGGACTTGAACAGACAAGATAGCACAAAACAGCTACGGAACATGTCGATACATTTCTCAAACCAGAAACGCGATTACGATTTCTGCTTGTTAATGAGTCTCGCGTTTCCTCGTCCGCATTAATGCAAAGCGTTGTAGTCCTTTTCTTTGTTTTCGCGATGACGTACATTTTGTAGTTCAAATAAGCGAACAGAATCGTGAAAATCGTAAGATATACAGTTGCGACGATGTTGTTCGTTTGTCGTTCAACCGCGAGAGACAGCAGCATCATTGCAGCAAAGGTCAACAGCAAAAAGCCAAGGAAAAGCATCAGCCTGCATTTGTTCACGTGCGTTTGATGGAAAAACGGGCACGTCAAGGCAAGGAACCGTTCGATATTTAGCGTCAAAAGGGAAAACATTGAGAAGCCATGAAGCACCATGTTCACAGCGATCCTCATTTCTTCCCGTCGGGCATCGAAGCCGTCCAAATACGTTGAGATGGCAGAAAACGCTATTAGAGGATGAGCGATTGTCACGACAGCCAAGTCGAACCAAGATAGAACAAAAATCATGAAGTAACATAACTTTTTCCGATGCTGTGCCGACCTCCACAGACTAATTATAACCACGAAATTTAAAACTACTCCAACGATCATAAAGGTGCCGTTCACAGCGAACAAAATGGATGCATTCAGCAGCATGGCGAACTGTTTCATTTTAATCGAAATTTATATCGATGCCCTTTCACAGGTAATTTCCACGACTTCGGATATCTTGCCTTTAAATGTTTATGAGATTTAATGATTCGTATTCACAAATGTCGGGTGTCAATCAATATGAACGCGCACATGTGCGGACCACTTGACAGGGTATAGATTATGGGATAATGGTTATATTGGAAAGTCGTAATCCGCAATGTTCAATTTTTAAATTTTGAAATTAAATGCTTGATTTAACACGACCACTATCATATCATTTGCTTTCCGTTTGTTGATCCCTCTTCCATCCGCATCACAATTAATACATTGCGCAAAAGCAAATAGTTGCCACCTGCTGCGATAGTCTCAAAACTTATACATTATATATGAAAACACCTGTAAATGTTGTTGCTTAAATATGTAGACATGAAAATTCATATCATGCTTGACTTCATCCTAGAACGGATAGTTGAAGAGATCTAGTTGTGTTTCATTGCATGATGATGAAATTTTACCTCGAAAAAAATTATAATAAAAGTTAAAAACAAGTTACAGAGAAATGTTATATTATTTGATAGCAAGTTATGATATGAAACGGGAGACTCATCTTAGAGCGGAAACTCGTCGGATGTTAAAGCTTCTATTGTCGCGACTGTAAATTCACATAATTTAAAAAGAAAAAGCACCTCTTCAATTTCCGTCAAAACACAAACCCACGCTGTAAAATTAATCTATTTCGCCAATATTATGAAAGTCAAACAATATTGCAGCGAAAAATTGCTAAATTGGTGAAAAATATTGACGTGACACATCGTCATTTTAAATTGGCTATTTCAATTATCGATTTGAAAACTGGAATACTAAAATGTGTATAGGCCTACGAAAGAAAAACTGGAATATACTAAAATGTGAATAGGCGGCCTACGAAAGAAAAACGAGTCCAAATAATATCATCACAGTTCAAATATCATATTCTTTTATGCATAACGATAAAGCTGATATTTCAGCTGATATTATGTAATTTTATCCCAGTTATGTCATAATAGTATTTTTTGACTCGACAAAATAGGCGTATGAACCGGCGTATAGACTTGCTTATATGGACATGGGTGTCACAATAGACATGGGTGTTATTATACATAATTATATGGACATGGGTGTTATCTATATGGACATGGGTAATATTTATATGGACATGGCACATGGGTGTTTTACCGCAAACTAAAACACTCATATTTTCCATAATTCACTAGTGAAATATGAAAACATATGTAATGTGTGTCTCTCCTCGCGCGACAATCGCGAGTTGTCCCGTTTTGTTCTGTTTTATTATTGAGTTGCTTTTCAATTTAGATCATTCATATAAGAAACAAAATATATATACATATATATATATATATATATATATATATATATATATATATATATATATATATATATATATATATATACACCCATTTGCAAAAACGTTGGCCGCAGATAGATAGATAGATAGATACTCGAAGTCTAATTAGAATTGCATATGATTACATTTGCATGGGATTTCTATAATATTACACAACATATGCAATTCTAATTAGATCTCCAGTATCTATTTATATATCTATCTGCGGCCAACGTTTTTGCAAATGG